TAAAAGACAGATAGATACACATATCATGTAGTTGAAGGTGCTACGAATGCTTAATTACACAACTAAATCATATCGGTGTTTTTTCATAAACTTGAATAAAAGTACATTAAACAGACAAATACATATACAGTTTCATCTTTCAGATGATGATACTACAAATACTGAATTTAAAAATGCCTCTAACATATCGTAAAGATAATAAAATAATTATAATAGATAAGCATATCCTTCCAATCTATATTAACGTCACTAATGTTAAATAAGGTGATCCAGTGGAAAATTGACTGGATCAGGGGATAGATGCAGACCAGTATATCATTATAGTTGCTATTACTACGTTCATAACTATTATAGTTATCATTGCTACTGCCATTATCGTAGATATTATTGTTATTGTTATTGGTATTGTCTTATTCTTATCATTATCAAATTCTTGTTGATTTTACTGTCAGTATCATTATCGACATCATTATTATAATTTTAATATTATCATCAATAACAATAATATTATCATGGTTTCCATCATTGCTCATATCATTTTATGATTATAGTCATTACTAATATAGTTATTATTATTTCCAAACCAACTTCTTGCCATGTTCTTGGTGCTACGAATATTTTGTTTAATTATACCACTAAATTAAGTCTGAGCATTTCATAACCTTTTTATATTTGTCTCAAAAGTACATTAAACAGACATAATGGTTAAACTTTATGATGATGCTACAAATGTTTAGTTTAAATATACTAAGTCCTACCAACATCGTTTATAAGAAAGGACCGTCGTGGTGGAGGAGTGGTTCTATCGTAATGTGATTATCTATTACGAATCTCATTGGCTATAACAGACTGGTCGCTAGTGTCTTTTGCCAAGGTCACAGCCAAGTACAATTCCCATGGGCTCATCTTATTTCCCCCTATTACGTCATCCACTACAATTCCGTCCGTTTGTTTCGTCGCTTCCTCGCTTTAGCGTCATTTTCTCTCTCTGTCATAATAACAGTTTTCCTTTGTTGTAATTTTAATCATAATAACGATTTTAATGATAATGAAAGTCTTATTAATAGTTGGAACAATAATCAAGTTCTGACGATTTACAAGACACGACATCTAATCGTGATTTGTTTATATATATATATATATATATATATATATATATATATATATATATATATATATATATATATATAAAGCAATTCATGACTAAGCAGACGAGAAGTCATCAGGAAAAGTTTTTATGGTGAAGAACTATAAGAAAATGTTATTAGGCATTACCTTTAATATATTATGTTGTTAAAAGTTTTACTTCATATTAAGTTTCATTATGTAATGTATAGCAAGAGATGATATTGATATAGATAATATCGCTTAGGGTAGCCAGTATTTGCTAAAAACGTCCATTTCATTACCAAAATTACTAGTTACTAATTTACTGTCATAACTATTAGTTATACTTCTGCCACCATCCTGAGTATTACTGCAACCTTTATTATTGTTAGTATTGCAGTTCTAATTAACAAATTGTTGTTGACTTTATTGACATGACCATCATTGTATTATTTTGTTATTATATATTGTTATTGTCATTCTTATCATTATCAAATCATTCTTGTTAATATTGTTACCATTACCATCATCAGCAGTATATATTTTATTATTACCATCGTCAATAACGCTATCAACATTACCATCTTTGTTGATATCATTAGTCATTATCAATATTGCTATTTATTATCAATATTAGCAAACCTACATCTTGCCATACTCTCCGCCTCGTGATCTTTAAGCCTTGTACACACTAGTAGACACGTTGCGCGATTTTGGTCTCTGAGACGTGTCTAGCAATGTCTACGTAGACATGTGTATAGACCAATCCTTGTCTACGGTTGCGTTGAGAGACCAAAATCGCATGTCTATGGTTTCCCGATCACGATGGGTTACGTCAGGCAACGCTAGACACGTTGCCCAAATTTTTCCTAGTGTGTACGACAACTGCAACGGTAGACGAGACATAGGAATCGTATCTCATCAGTGTCTCTCCAGCTAGCAAGTGTGTCGGCTGTGTGTTTAATTATCGAAATGTGGCCCAATGACAAAGTTCTAAGTTTCATTGAAGATTACCATGCATTTAGCTGCCTTTGGGATGTTACCTCTGCAGAATACAAAAACCGGGACAAAAAAAAATTAGCGCTTCAATCACTGGCCACTAAGCACGAGGCAACAGTGGCAGATATTGAAAAGAAAATACATAATTTAAAAACTTCTTTTAACCGAGAGCGAAAAAAAATAAAACAGTGTAGTGGGGCCTCTCCTAAGAAGTCTACATGGTTTGCATATGAATATTTGCTATTCTTACTACCATTTAATGAGTCTAGAGGCAGCCGTAACACAGATTTGGAGGAAGCAATCCCAAAGAGTGGAAACAATGAATTTGAGGTAAGTGAAACACCACGGCTCTCTCTAGCTGTTTGATTTTGCTTTTGTTAATTAGGTACACAATATATAAATAACATTCTATGACATAGGTATGTAAATAAAAAAGTGGCACTTCAATACTGAGATGTAACTTTCATACTTTATTATTATTGTACAACATGTCTGATATTAGTTTATGACATCATATTGCCAAGACACCGCTCCCTGTTGAGAAACAAAATAGCTACAAAATTCATCACGGATATTATGTACGTTAGCTGAAGCTCTTCGAGGGATGGCCATCAAATCCAACAAACGATCCCTTTCATTAATGTCTCTTCTCCACGATCCTTCTATCACATTACCATCTGCATCATAGGAGTCTAATGTTCCAGGAGGCGTGTAGTTCTGTCTTGAAACAGAATTCTTGCGTAAATAGTTGTGTAAATATACGCAAGATAACACCACACATTCAACTTTACATGGCTGTAAAGCCATTGGTTTTAGAAACACTCTGAATTTAGATGACATTATTCCAAATACATTTTCTATAATTCTTCGAGCTCTACTCAGTCTGTAATTGAACACTCTTTTAGGAATATCTAATGCACAACCAGGGTATGGTTTCAGTAAGTACGTGGACATAGCAAAAGCATCATCTCCCACTAGAATGTATGGTACCGGCTCTGTTCTACCTGGCAATGCCTCACATTTAGGTACATGGGCCGACTTGTTTTCTAGGTTATTGTACAATGAGGTGTACTTGAAAACACCCCCGTCGGAAATGCGGCCTTGACATCCAACATCAGCGTACAAAAAGTTGTAGTTGGCATCTGCAACACCAAGCAATACTATACTGAAGGTGCCTTTGTAGTTATAATACAAGCTGCCGCTACGGTCAGGTGCGACCATTTGCACATGCTTGCCATCAATGCTCCCTAGGCAGTGTGGAAAATTCCATCCCGTCTCAAATCCATGAACAACAGTTCTCCATTCAGCTTCGGAAGATGGTGTCTGCAAGAAATTTTTTTTATAGAAATATTTGAGCAAGCAAAAATGTTAAATTTAAATACCTATGATCATCATTGACAAAGTTGTACCCGAATATTAGCTGGGGATTTATTGTTAATGAAGAGGTTTAACTTGAAGGGACAATATAGTTCATATTGTTAAATTCGAGGTACTCCTACTTAGACTTTCGAACAAAATGTAACAATTATTTTCTGTTTCAGGACACCTCACAGACTGTCAACACTGAGGACCAAATAGCCACTGAGGACCAAGCAGACACTTCTATTAACGAAATTGCACAAGAGGACCATGGCCAATCATTCCAAACACCAAGAAATCCTCCTAAACGTGCCCGGAAGAGTGAAGACTCCCCTGTCAATGAAGCTGTAAACTGCCTGAAATCTCTCACACATATTGTTTCTGGAAAAGATGAGAATTCAGCATTCGGGGATTTCGTCGCAAATAAAATGAAAACCTGTAAGAGGCCCCGGGTGGAGATTTCTTTAGCTCAGCGTTATATTAATGATATATTATTTCGATTGGACATGGGACTGCTATCTGCTGATATTCAATCTATGTACAAGTCACATACATATCCCACCTCTATCCCATCACATTCCCCCTTGCCACACTCTCCACATTTCAGTGGTCATTCATCTCCTATTCAACCTTGTTCACCAGTTCCTACAGTTTCTGCATCACCTGTTCCACCTCAACAATCACATTTCAGTGGTCATTCATCTCCTATTCAACCTTGTTCACCAGTTCCTACAGTTTCTGCATCACCTGTTCCACCTCAACAATCACATTTCAGTGGTCATTCATCTCCTATTCAACCTTGCTCACCAGTTCCTACAGTTTCTGCATCACCTGTTCCACCTCAACAATCACATTTCAGTGGTCATTCATCTCCTATTCAACCTTGCTCACCAGTTCCTACAGTTTCTGCATCACCTGTTCCACCTCAACAATCACATTTCAGTGGTCATTCATCTCCTATTCAACCTTGCTCACCAGTTCCTACAGTTTCTGCATCACCTGTTCCACCTCAACAATCACATTTCAGTGGTCATTCATCTCCTATTCAACCTTGCTCACCAGTTCCTACAGTTTCTGCATCACCTGTTCCACCTCAACAATCACAGTCACTAGCTGGAACACTCAATAACCCCTTCGATTTCTTGGAATTGTAGTATGGACAATAATCAAAAGTTTAATAGGTAATTACTATAATAATGACAGAAAAATATCATTTCCTTTATGAAGATCAATGTTAGCAAATAAGTCTGTGGTTTATTTCATTAAACAGGAATGTACTGTATTTTATCATGCAGTTGATATTTAAAGAATTTTCAAATTTGATTTCCTTATTTTCATGTGTTTATCACTATGTTTTAGGAGTATATTTCCCATATATTTTTTTTTATTATGTTATTATTAGCGTACATTTTCTTACTGTACACGAACAAGGAATCTGAATATCTTAATTTGTTTGAAAGCACAGCACTAATAAAATTTAAAGTCAAAATTCGTTGTATATACATACCTTCACATATTGTTTCAGTGCTGAAATA